TGGGTGCCAGGGTCTGCCCGGGATCCCGCATCTGTCTTCCCTCCGCTTCTCACACTGAGTATTCACGCACCTGCTGTGTCCTGACCTCTAAGTTCATTCTGGAACTAAACAAAGAACAGGCATCTCTGGTCCTCAGCATGGGGCTGTCTGACCCTGACACCATCCAGGTTTAACACTGATATTGAGTTTTGAAGTCATAGGACCTGAGCTCAAAGGAAGGCGGGGGAGAGGCGGAGCCTGGGCATCCCATTGAATACTGGCCACTGTCCCTCTCACAGGTCCCTGCTCAGCAGTGTCCACTTCCTGCTCCTCATATTCCTGAAGGTGCCCCTGTTTCTGAGCATGCTCAGTGCTGTCCTCTGGGTGAACAGGCCTCAGTGGGCAACTTGTGAGGAAACACAGTTTGGCTAAGACAACCTGCCACTGTCCCCGCCCATCCATGTCCTGTCCAGAGACACAGCCACTCGGGCTACAGAAGACTGATCTTCCACCCTGAACCTTACATCCCTTTTCAACTTATCGCCAGAGACTTAAAAAAACATTTTAATGAATATATCACCTCCAGAAACGTGTGTATATGAACAGTTGAAGACCTAAAAATAAACATCTGTGTACCTGCCATTCAGCCTAAGAATTCAAATATCATGGAGACATTTAAAGCCTCCACCTACTTCTTCCTGACCTCAAGTCCTGCCAGCATCAACCACTCTCTCCATTAGTTTGTGCCAATCATTTCTATTACCAACCTCATGGGTAAGAAGGAAGAGCACGCTTGTGGCAGTTCTTAAAAACACCAATTGATGGCGCCAGAGGCAATCTGCAGAGCTTCACTATGGACCTCTTCATGAACTTAGAAATATTTCTCCAACAGGATTGCTTCTCAGTTGCTGGGTCCCTGCCGGCTGATCCCCAAATCCAGACCCATTGTATCCTGCTGGCCTTTCCCCCAGGCTGGGTCCACTCCCCCCGCCCCCCATCCTGCTCATCAGCCTGGGCTATCTGAGTAGGGACCCCCTTGTCTCCATGGGGGCCAACCACATGTGGACTCAGGCATTCAGGGGGCCAGGGACCAGGGCTCAAGGTACAAGCAGGGGTCTGGAGCCCAGTGGGCAGCTCAGACTGGAGTAGACTGAACCTAGGGGAGGGGATGGAGCAGGTGTGAGAGGACAAAGACACACCTGATTCCTGTCCAAGGCTTCAGATTTCTTGAGAAGCAACACTATGTGGATCTGCTGACTTCTCACTCCCTGGGAGAGGCAGAGAGACCCAGGGCCTCAGTGGACACGTTCAGCTAGTTTGGAACTTCAGGTGCTGACAACTGTCACCACTTCCAATTCCCCAGGAACAAGGGAACTTGTTTCTAAAGGACTAACTATGACCAGTGCCAGGAAGCGTCTAAGGAAGGGCAGCTGTGGGGATGAATATCAAGGAGACAGAGGTGCAGGGGTGAAGAGAGATGGGTGGGAAGTGGGGAGGGGTAACAGGGGCCATCTTGGTGTCCTAGGAGAGGCTACAGTTTGGCCCTGGCCTGGCATCCCATGAACAGCCTTAAAGTTCGCCTTTAACATGATCTCTACATTGAACTATCTATACCACCACAGGCTGTGTTAGTAGATGTGTTTATGCTATCCTATCTAATAATAGACAAACATGGTAAT